ATTTCCTTATGTAATTCTTTCCAATATATCTACATTGGTTACTCTATCCACACCATTATTCATAATCTTATAATTTAATCTGTTTGTGCATTTTTATGTTAAATTATAAACACTTTATATTAATCTTTGTGGAATATTGGTATACAATTAATTAAACAAWTTAATCTGTTTGTGTTGTAATTATTGTGTATTTCTATWTTAAATTATAAACATTTTATGTTAATCTTTGTGTAACTTTTATGTGTAGTATTATTATACCTACTTTTTTTCCTGATTCTTCTGGTGAAAAGACAGATTTATTGATTTTAAGTGTTCTATAAAGTGGGCTAATTATATAATTTAATAATTTAATAAAATTACTTTCTAATTCAAATAACTTATAAGAAATTAATATTTTATAATACATTAAAATTTTTACAGAGAACTACTTCAGAATCTATAAAAGAAACTATAAATAGAAGCCTTAAATTGAAAAATGCTAAATTTTCTCCAGCAATAAGGTCWTTTGCTCTTACATTACAATTTTATTCTAGCAAAGCGTACACATTTGTTCGAAAACATTTTAATAATTTACTCCCCCATCCTTCAACTTTAAAAAAGTGGTATTGTGTAATTAAAGGTGAACCAGGATTCACCGAAGAATCGTTTACAGCCCTTAAAGCAAGACAAAATCAGTTATCTGACCAGGTCATCATAAATATTTCTATAGATGAAATGGCTAWAAGAAAGCAAATTTCTTTTTTAAATGGAAGGTTTTATGGTGGTGTTGATTTAGGTACAGGAAATGAAAATGATAGTGATTGTACTCAGGAAGCTACGAATGCATTGGTATTTTTAGCAGTTTGTATTAATGGCCACTGGAAAATTCCATTGGGGTACTTTTTAATTCACAGTTTTTCTGGTTCTGAACGTGCCAGTTTACTGATAAAATGTTTGGAAATTGTTAGTAGAAACAGGAGTAAAATGTTATTCTATAACATTTGATGGTGCTGCTTCAAATATATCAATGTGTACCTCTTAGGTGCAAATTTTGAATATACATCTGCAAATTTTAAACCTTGGATTGAATATCCTGGCAGTCAAAATAAAATKTTTATATTTTGGGATGCTTGTCACATGATTAAATTAGTACGGAATACACTAGGCGACAAAAATATATTAATTAATAAATATAATGAACCAATAAAATGGAGTTGTATTGAA